TTTTTAAGATCAGTAGCGTTTCTTGAGTCTCTGTAACTAACTAAACACTAGCTGTTGGTAAAGATGTTATCTGAAAATCTGAGACTGCTTTGGGGAAGTTCGCCAGGTGCTATTCAGACAAATACATTACTTAGGTTTCTAGATCTTGCATTTATGAACTGATGATAAGATTATTACTGTCACCGATGGAAGATCTTGGTCCACAGAAGTCCCAACGATATTGGAATGTTTTCTACATTCCAATAAAGAAATAAAGATGCTCTGTATTCCGAAGCACTGTTGTCATTTGACATCTCAACAAAAGAACTGGATCCCAACAGACCAGTGAGAAAGCACAGAGGAGGTTGTTAGCAAATGGCTCCGAAAGTTTCACAACAGCACTAAGGGAGCTAAGGGTGGAGAGCCAGGAAGCAGAAAGCGTAAACATCAGGCCTCAAATGTTAGTTATGTGTGCACAAATCGGACGGGCCTGCTCTACAGATCTATCAAGCTAGGAAACCAGCAAAGCTTCAGTATTTGAGCAAACTCAGACCTGGCTTCCCTCCCTCCGGCCCTGGTTCTGGACAAAGGGGACGCACGCTGGACTCTAGCTGTGGAACGAACTGGTATCACTAACTCCTACAAGAAGTGCTCTGCCTCCTGCCATACCGCAGTCTCACAGGCAGGTCCTCTCCAAGAGAGCCACAACTGGCCCGGGTAAGAAAGAACCTCCCAGACCAAAACGCTCCTGGTTTGGAGAGCGAGAACGATGGAGGCGCAGGAGAGGGAACCCACCTTGGGAACCAAGCCAGGAGGTTCTGTTTGTCACCGCTTCTTCTAGCAGGATGCGGAGCTGATTTACAGACGCGATGTTCCGGCTGTGGATGTGGGTGGAGAGCCTGGCTATGCACAGGCATGGGGCAGGGTGCCGAGGAGCGGAGGGTGGGCGTTCCAGCCTCGGTGGGGACCGCACCCCATTTCTTGGAGGACGCCCCTCCCCCTTGGGTCCGCCATCAGATTGGCAGAGATGCCAAGGACAGCCGGGAGAAACATCAGCCACAGATGCTCCGGAGAGCCAGGAGGACCCTGGGAGGCTTCCCTGGGGGAGCTCCGGGAACACAGGAATTTAAGACCCGATCATCAACCTTATAGTCAAGCAGTATCGTCCTCTTTTGCAGGACAAGTCAAACTACAAGAAAGTTAGTACAGAAGTTAACTTTTTCCAGTTGTTGCCAAAGAAAAGAAAAAAAAGACCTGGGCTCGTCCGGGATTTGAACCCGGGACCTCTCGCACCCAAAGCGAGAATCATACCCCTAGACCAACGAGCCACGGCAATAGCCTGTTTTCCCAGTTTATCTGCTCTGTATTTGTTTGCCGCCAACTAGCTGCTAGTATGGTCCAGAGGTTTCGGGTCCTTTTTAACTCTTTATACACTTATATTTCTTTTCCTGCCTTTTAATTCTTCACCCATCCTTATCAAGTCCCACTCCATAACTCTGGGCCTAGCCCCTCCTAGTCTCCATCCTCGTCCTGGCCCCCTCTAGGCTCAGGATGGGGTCTGCGAGGCAGCCCTTCGGATTTCTAGCCTGCGCCTTACTCATCCCAGCCGGGAGCGAGCTGGGGCAGTCGGAGTAGCTGAGTGGAAGAGTGCGGCGCAGGCTGGAGACGCGGCGCGTTCGGCCTCACCAGCCCGACTCCGCGGTCCGGACCGGGATGCCGGGAGCTGGAGCGGGATGCGTGTGCAGCTGGCTGGAGGAGAATCCGCGCGGCTCCGGTTCCGATGATGCGGACCCTCCTGGTCTTCCTGAGAGCAATTGCGTTTCCACCCCCTCCCCGTGGCTTCCTCCGCCTGGACTTGCCTCTCCCAGCCTCACCCCAACTCACGTCCAGTCCTGGTCCTCCTTCCTGTCCTGCCTAGGCTTTTCGTAGAACACCTAAACACCTAAGTAAACGAAAGCGCCTCCTTGCCTATGAGTGTGGAGTGGGGGCACTTCGGGCTGAAGGTCAGTTAGGGGGCGTACTGAGGGCCGTCGGGCACGTGAAACACACCCGCGTGCCTAGAATGCTCTGGACCTTGCAGTCTTCGGCCTCTGAACTTGGGACTCGGCACATCAGCTGGAAATAAAAGCAAACACTGGAAAGTTCCTGCTTTTAAAGCCGTTTGTAAGAGCCACTTCCCTGTGATTTGCCAGGTGTGTCTCCACGAGAAAGAAGGAACCTTTACATCGTGGACACCTCTGGACCCCAAAACACAGGCTACTCCTTCGAGCCGGAATCGAACCAGCGACCTAAGGATGGCTGCCCAGGAAATCTACAGTCCTCCGCTCTACCAGCTGAGCTATCGAAGGAAAGCACGAGCTGTGTTCTCCTGACTGCCGTATTCAGAGGCCATAGACACCGCCGACTTTAGCCGAACAAGTGCCGGGCTGCTGGAGAAACCTGCTAGAGCCGGATTCCGCGCGCCCCCGGGATGGGCATGCGCGTGCGCGTGCGTGAGAGCGCGCTGGCGGAGGACCGCACCCGAGAACCCTGAACGCGGTCCCGGGCACGCGGGATGATCCTCGTCCCGGGCGGGGCAGTGCGCTGGCTGCAGGAGAAGCGGGGTTTCAGAATTCCCCGCGGCTCCACGCCTCTCCGTGAGCAGTGTCCGGCCTGCCCCGCGTGCGGAGCGGGTGCTCGGGAGCGGAGTCTGTCCCCTGCCCGCCCTGCGTCCTCTTCGCCGCGGGGAGCGGGTGCGCGCAGCCAGGGAGCGCGAAGGGGGCTCGGTTCAGCCGGGCAGCAGAGCCGCCCTGCCGCGTTAGGACAGGAACAAAAGGAGCCAGTGGCCGATTACCCACGAGCCTTGAGAAACTAGGAATAGCCACTGGCTTCAGGTTAAATGAAGTGCGACGAGGAGCAAGAAGTTTTCTTTGATATCAAAATTGATTGCTATAGGCCCCAGCGAGATTTGAACTCGCGACCCCTGGTTTACAAGACCAGTGCTCTAACCCCTGAGCTATAGGGCCCCACAGACTTCTAGCCTCTTTCTTTCCTAGAAAGGGAAATATTCTCTGACTTTTCAGTAGTCTGGAAAGCAAGCAAAATCTAGATCGTATTTTATCCCATATCCACACACAGTGTTGAAATGCAGCCTACTGACTCTTCCTGGTCTCACTGAGAATAGCTTAGTGGTGGACGCAGACAAGGACCAATACTACCCTAAAACTGGAGAAATGTGACCATCCCACACCGAGTAATACGTTAAAGATTCCCCCTCCCTCTTCATTTTGTTCCTTCCTTCATTCAGCAAACACCGAATTCCAATTCTGTGTCAAATTCTACAGAAAGAACTAGGGATTCAGATCGTCAATCCGAGTCACTGTCACAGTTTGCAGAACGGGGCTGCAATTTTCAAGAAAGTGCAATGAAAAGTAGGTATACCAAGTGTGACTTTCAAGTGACCTTTGGGGGGGCCTTAGGAGGCGGGAGTTAAGTTTCAAGATGAGAGGAGGTTGAGATTTGGACCAGTTGGGGACAAGGAGATCCTTAGTAGAAGAAAAATGAGCAAAATCCAAGGAAGACCATTAAGAGTGGTTAGATCTCCGCCCTTTTCCAGGTGACAAGAGATGAGAAGACACGTTAGAGGGAGACAGGAATGATGTGTAGACCCCTTCAGAAAACAGAAATGGAAATCCACCAAGTAAACTGGAAGGAGGAGAAACCAGAGTCGGGAACACCAGAGATGCTCGGACATAAAGCTGCAAACTGTTAACTCTTCTGGGGCTACAGGGAAAGGATGGGAGATAAGGGAAGAAGTCACTGAGATTAAATATGAAATCAGTCAAGAGAGAAAAAAAAAAACAAAACAAAAGACGATGATACCTGCAAGGGGGCGGGGGGGGGCAAGGAAGTTTGCGTCTATAGGATGTCTGGAAAAGACAGGGGTGCAGGAACAGTAGGGTGCAGGTGGACGAAACAGGTGAGCAGGGTGCACGTCCCGGGAATTATATAGTAGCCAGAACATGTCCCTGTTTAGAGTCCAGAGGACTAAGGTTAAGGTTAGATCAAATTACAAATTACCTAAGTCTAGGAGTACAGCTCAGTGATAGAACTCCCGCCTCAAATGTAAGGTCTTGGGTTCAATTCCCAGATTCACAAAAATAAATAATAAAAACTTGGCGTAGTGACTCCTGCCTGTAATCTCAGCACTGCAGAAACTGAGACGGGAGGATCTTGAAGCTCAAGGCCAACCAGGGATACACAGCAAGACTGTCTAAATAAGTAGATTAGTAAAAAATAAATTTTAATTTAACATCTATTTATTTTTGTGTTTGTATGGAGAATGCCACAGTGTGAATGAGGGATCAGAGGACAGCCCATCTTCTACCATGTGAGTTTCAGGAATAACAGTTATCCAATGAGTCATCTTGCCACCTCCGTGTGTGTGTGTGTGTGTGTGTGTGTGTGTGTGTGTGTGTGTGTATGTGTGTGTGTGTGTGGACAACTTTGTGAACTCAGTTCTCATTGCACCTTTAACAAGTTCTGGAATCGAACTCAGGTCATCAGACTTCACAGCAAGCATTTTTATTCACTGAGCCATCTCACCAGCTCAACAATTAATTTTATTTTTAATTACAGAAGTCATCCAGTCCCAGAGAGTATTTTCAAACAGCAAAATTTAGAAAGAAGGTTAAGTGTTATGAAGCATAAAAATTCTTGAAATATTCCAGAAGAGGAAAGACAAGCTATTTGAGTCAACATTTAAAGAGGCAATGACTAGAATTTTCAGGAGTGATGCAAGAAATTCACAAATTCAGTTGCCTTTCTCCATTGGTCTATTACCATAATAGGATGTGCAAGACTGGGTACTTTATAAGGAAAAGAAGTCAAGTTTGTCTCGTGGTTCTGGCAGCTTGCTGGCCAAATTCAGATATCATGAGGGCCTTGTGCTATGCCAATTCATGGAAGAAAGGACAAATGGGTGAGGGTGAACACCAGAGAAACTTGTGTGCCAGAGAAGGAAACTGCCAGGCTCCTCTTACAACAGTGAGTGCTGGTGGAAACTAACCCAGTTTTGCCAGCACAAGAGCACCCCAGAGAATGAATCGGTCTATTGTGAGGGTAGACCCTCCATCACTGAATCACCTCATATAATACTGCTATGTTTAGAACCAAATCCATATTGGGAACCACATCTTAACATTAGGAAGCCCAGTGAATCCAAAGGAGCATAAGCAGGTAAAAACCCACGCATTGATGTTATAGAGAAACTTCAAAAAAAAAAAAAAAAAAAACCAAAAACAAAATATAAGATATTGAAAACAGTGAAAAGATGGATGAGGAGGAACAGCGATTAGATCAGCAGGTTGTGCCTCTCCACTAAGCACCAATCCAGATGCTAGAGTGCCACGGAGCAGTTCACCTAGAATTCTAAAAACAGAATTCCCTTCAACACTGAAGACAAAGACCTTTCACTCTGACTTACAAAAACGTGAATTTCTCCTGATCATATCTTCACCAAAGAAAATTTCTATAGATGTATTCCAGGCAGAGATGAAAAATCAGGAATGCAAAAATGGCTGAACGACCAACAGAGTAATACATAGGAAAATGAAAATGGCTAGAGTAAGTAATAACAACCATCTGTGGGTTTGTAAAAATGAAGAATTAAGATAATCTGGTAAATATTTCATTGAAGTCAGAACTGGGATTAACAGAAAGAAAAGTTTCTAAGGCCACTGCAGTACCTGAGACAAGAACAATATTTTAATTAGCCTTGGGCTTTTAAAAACCATTTGTTATTTTTATTTTATGTGTATGAGTGTATTGTCTGCATGTATGTAAGTGCACCCCTGTCATGCAATGCTTGTGGGGGTCAGAAGGGGGTGTCAGATTCCCTGGAACTGGAGTTACAGATGGTTGTTAGCTGCCATGTGGGTGCTAGGATTCAACTAGGGTTCTCTGCAAGGGCAGTCTGTGCTCTTAACCACTGAGCTTCACACACACACACACACACACACACACACACACACACACACACAACCTTTTTTTGGTCACAGGGTCTCACTATGTAGCCCTGGCTGACCTGGAGCTCACTATGTAGACCAGGCTGATCTCAGATTCACAGAGATCCACCTGCCTCTGCCTCCCAACTGCTGGGATTAAAGGTGTGTGCCACCATACACCCAACCTAACCCTGGACTTTTAAGGCTGGGTATAGTGGGGCTCACCTGTAATCCCAGCACTTGAGACACAGAGGCAGGAGGCCCAGAAGTTCAAGGCCATCCTCAGTTACAAATTGAGCTCTAGGTCAGTCTGGGGTTATATAAGACCACATATCAAAGCAAACAAATAAAATTATCAAAACTTTAGACTTTTATAAATTACTTGAATTTTAATTTCTAGGCAGTTGTTTTAGTAACTTTCCCTGTTGTGAGATAAAATATCCTTACAAAAACAATTTAAGGAAGGAGGAAAGATTTGTTTTGGCTCCTAGTTTGAGAGCATAGTCTGTCAAGACCTGGAAGCCGAGCTGTCCAGGCTGCCTCCAGTCAGAAGAAAGTGAGCAGTGAATGTCAGTGCTCATCTGGGTTTCTCCTGGAAGTTGGGTCCTGGACCCAAGAATGTGGAATGCTGATGCCCACAGTTAAATTGGGTCTTTCCACCTCAGTTAACCTAATCAACATAATCCCTCCCAGAGGAGCTCTGAGGCTAACTTAATCTAGATAACCCCTCACAGTTGTGCCCAGAGGCTTTCATCCTAGGTGATTATAGATTCTGTCAAATTGGCCACCAGTATTAACTCTCACAACAATCAATAAAAGACCAGACATCCAGCCAGGCATGGTGGCGCACACCTTCAATCTCAGCACTTGGGAGGCAGAGGCAGGTGGATCTCTGTAAATTCAAAGTCAGCTTGGTCTACATAGTGCGGGCCAAGCCAGCTGGAGCTACAGAGAGACCCTGTCTCAAAAAGACCGAAAAAAAATATACATATATCCAAATGAGAGACAAAGAGCAATAAAAATAACCATTATGGAGAAATTTTAAAATGAAAAGGATAGATAAGACCTGGAGAATGGGTAGAATGGAACAGAATAATTGAAGATTTTAAATAAAATATGTCAACAATTATATTAAAAGTTCTATCAAAAGGGCTGGAGAGATGGCTCAGCAGTTTAGAAAGCTTCCTGCTCTTCCAGGGGATTCAAGTTTGGTTCCAGCACCAATATCAGACAGCTCACCTGTAACCACCTGTAACTCCAAGTCCAGGGGTTCTAGCCCTCTTCTGTCCTCAGATACCCACACACATGATATACACTCCCCCCTTGGGGGAGATGGTTCAGTGGTTACAAGTCATGGCTGCTCTTCCAGAGAACCCAGATCAATTCCCAGCACCCACATGACAGCTAACAACCATCCATTAACTCCAGTTCCAAGGGATCGAATGCAGACAAACACTCAAACACATAATAAGATAAAATAAAACTAAGCGGGGGACTGGAAAGATAGCTTAGCAGTTAAGAGCACTGGCTGCTCTTGCAGAGGAGCTGAGTTCGATTCCATGGCAGCTAACATCTGTCTGTAACTCCAGTTCCAGGGGATCTGACACTTCTTCTGACCTCTGAAGACAACATGGATGCACTTACGTACCTGCAGGCAATACACTCATATATATATATATATATATATATATATATATATATATATAAACGAAATATTAAAAATCCTAAAAAGATAAAAATAAAACTTTCTTGATTTTTAAAATTTTATTTTATGCGTATTCTGCCTGCATGTATGTCAGTGCACACCAAATGTTTCCTGTGGCAGTCAGAAGAGGGCGTTGGATCCACTAGAACTTAAGTTACAGACAGTTGCTAGCTGTCATGTGGGGGCTGGGTACTGAACCCTAGTCCTCTGCAAGAGCAACCAGCGAGCTTAACCATTGAGCCATTGTCCCCATCATATAAAAATTCGATGAAGAAAAAAAATCAGGCATGCAAAACGGCTCATCGGGTAAATTCACTCAGACCACTTTTGCTGGTGGTTTCTCTCCCGGTCTCTAGTCTCTTGAGTGACTCCTATTATTACCTACCTTAGGAGGTCAGCAAAGCACCAGGCTCTGAGAAGGGCCTATGCTGGTCAGGAGTTAAGATGCCAGTGACCTTTTGGGACCATCTTTTTTGGGCTAGATGCCCAATCTTTCCAGGCTGGAAAAATCAAGTTTTCAGCACACTCAGCGTGGTTTCAGTTTTAGAAAACAGTTCACATCCACACAAATAACCATATTTTAACTTTATTCTGTAAAGATGCTGTGATGGTTAATATCTATTGTCAATTTGATTAGATTTAAAATCACCATGGAAACACATCTCTGGGTGTGTCTGAGGGTTTCTAGAAATGCTTAACTGTGGAAGGAAGACTTACCCTGACTTACCATCAATGGCCTGGGGTCCCAGACTGAAGGAGAGGGGATAGCATCTGAGCATGCGCAACAATGTCGGCTTCTGACAATGCCACCAGCCCCGCAGAGCGTGCTGCTGGGTGGTGCCTTCCCCACCAGGATGGCCTGTGCCCTCAAGCAGTGAACCAAATAAACCAACCCTCTCTTCCTCCCTCTCTCCCTCCCTCCCTCCCTCCCTCCCTTTTTCTGTTGCTTTTGTCAGTATTTTGTTACAGCAACGGGAAAGTAACTAATACAGATGCTATTTCCGTGTAAGGTCACATTTTAAAGTACCATGAGTTCCGATTTCAACATATTAGCATATCAACACATAATAAAAGTCAAAAATTCTTATGCGACCACCGGGGAATGTGTCTTAGGAATACACTGTCCTACACATCCGATGGTTGTAAATTCCTTCCTCTTGAGAAGTGGTGATTAGGAGACAACGACTTTCTAATGAGTGCCACAGGAGGGTGACCTTTCTTCAACGTAGACTGTATATTTGCAAGAGAGTAAAGCAAAGTCAGGGACACATACTGCCTCTGGAAATTTGTTTCCAAATACACTGAAATTAATCAAGCGGAAGATGTGACTGGATGTTACCAGAGAACCACAATTTTCCGGCTCAGAGATAACCAAATTCGTTC